CAAATTTCAGAAATGAGTAAATAAGGAAACAATTTAACTTTAAATTTTGATTATGAAAAAAATATTTGACACATACTGTACTGTAGTGGCTTTAAAGCCATAAGTTCTCAAATGTAATATATACCTAATGTATACATATTAACACACAATTAAACTATAATGCTTTATATTAGGAAATTCAAATCAATTTAGAAATGTCTTATGGTTATAATATACTGTATTTTATAACTAATGACTAATGTGATAATAACCAATTTCTTCGATACATTAATTGCATATTAGTTTTAAAACCCTTATCCTGAACCAAACTCATAACCCTAATGGTACAGTGTCTGCAGAGGGTAGACTGTTCAATCTATAACACTTTAGAGACCCATTAACAGTTGACATATCAATATCTAAAGTAAATTTCCAACCACTAAAACAAAATGTGACCAGTCAAACAAAACGTGATAACAATACTTCTTTGGTCCCATTTCAGATCTAAAAGTAATTTCAATAGATTTTTTTTGCTAGTGCTAAAAATAGAGATTCCTATATATCACAAGGAATAAAACACAGAAGCCTGCTGACACATCGCCTGCTGTTATCACTTATGGCCATGTCTTCCTGTTAGTCACCCATTAGCTGACAGCTTACTTTGTTCTCTGTAGAACTCCCAGTGACAAAGCTACTGCACACTAAAACCAACATAATGTCTTCTACTGTAAATGTAAAGGTGACTGCTCTACCAAAGTAATTGGCTGTGATTAACTCAAAGGTTTTTGTGCATGGTAAAATGTATTCTGTATTTTCTTGTATAGTTTTTTGGAAAGACAATGAGTACTGTAGGAAATATGTTTCACTTAAACATTATTTTAGGATTTCAGTTAGTAGACCTGTCATAAAGAAATCTGACCACTCAGCTATTCCAAGTGTATATATTTAATCAACATTTGAATGCTCAAAATGAATGCTTTTATGACAGAAAGAGGTTAATGAAATACTTGGTTGAAGCAACTTTAGCAACAATTACAGCTGTGACTGTTTTTGGATTAGTCTACCAACTTTGCACACATAAGTCCAAAACAGCACTCTGCATTTAGTCTGAAAAGTTCAAATGTTCATCACAAAATCTCTTGTTATGTTTGCCATATCACTTACATTCTTTATTGCAAACTCCATACAGAGTCTGAGATGAGACTCATGGACTTTTTTCTCCATCTTAGTGGACTCTGTAGCTCTTTCAAAGTCACAGATTGGCCTCAAGGCAGCCTTGTATACCAGTTTTCTCCTTGACTGGCTGCTCAGTTTTGGGGATCATCCTCAAGTGTCTGGGTTATACAATATACCTTCTACTTCTTAATAATCACCAGGCTTAAAGGATGTTCATTGTCTTTGGATTGTATATTGTTCTCCTTATCTGCGGCTTTCAACTTACAACTTTATATTTGAGTTATATGGAAAGCTCTTGGTCCTTATGGTTGAATCATTACTTGAAATTGACTGAGGCACCTTTCTGTGACAGATGTACAGTATATATTCTGAAATATTGTGAACTACAATTATTGCACACAGACAGAGGCAACTTAACTTTGCAAAGTTGAGTCACAGCAAAATGTGGTAAATACTCAATCAGAATACTTTAGTTTTTTTATTTATTTTCCTTTACAGCTTTTGCAGAAAACTTCCTTCATCTGTAAAAGTGTTTTGTTTGAGCATTCAGAATTTGATGAAAAAATATTTTATAAAATGTGCATAAATCATTTGTAATTGAAACAAAATAGGACATGGCTGGAAGCAGATGAATACTGTTACAATGCACTGTAAGTGTAATATAAAAAGATTTATTTTCCCGATAAACATACTGCACTACCCCTATGGCATAAAGCCAGTCAGTTGAATTCTGTCTTACTGTATTTTTCTACAAAGTGCTGCCTTAATTTTAAGGACTTCATGGGCATCTTCACTGAAACCAAGTGAAATGTTAAGCCATCAATATTAAAAATGTCATTTCAGGGAAAAGTGATGTATGCTCAGCATTTCTAAATACATTAATTTCTTTCATCAGTCTTTCATGGGTCATTCCATGATAATTCAGGACATAAAAGAAACAAATACCTGCAACTCTCAAAGACATCTGAATTTTGTGGTCCAATCAAGTTGTAGTTTGATTAATTTATCACATGCATGACACTGCATACAATATATATCAGACTTGTTGCACAGCAGAAACCCTTTCGTAAGATGATTTTGTGTTAGAGTGTACATCTCATAGACTGATGCAGCGTATTACATTTGTTTATAATGTTATGAGGTATGTGCAGGGTTACGGAGGGAGTAGTCTCTGGGCCTAGTCTTGAGAAACCATTACCCTGTATAACCCTGTCTCTTTAAAAATATTTGTATTTTCTCCTGTGCAGGCAAGTTACAGGACTACATTTCCAGAGAGTCAAAGAGGTAACTGATGGTTCATTTCCTGTCTAATAGGCTCCAGCTGTCAGGAATTAGCTGGCTCCTTTCTCATTTTAAAAGGGTGTGGCAGAGGCAGGATTGGTGTCTGTTGCAAGAATGTTAAGTCATGTTTTTCTTTTTGGAAGAATTAAGAAAAGTATTAAGGATTTATAATGATCATAAGGTCTGTATATACAGTAAGTGCTCCAAAAGGGAGTCAGGTTAACTTTTCTGAAACAAAATCCTGATTTTTTTTTTACTGCCCTTATACTGTGGCTGTGGCAGTACGATCCTAGCTGGCAACCCTAAAAACGTCACTGGAAAATGTCATGAAGAAAGCATGGAGTACTTCAACAAACAGACGTGATTCATGTTTAAGTATTACAAAATGACAGTGCTGTACAGTATACAATAATGAAGGCTGTCTAATGCAAAGTATAATACATTACATTTAATACAGCATCTGTTTTAATGAGAAATAAAATAGTAAATACCATATGATATACTTTTGCTGAACTGGCTTATGATTGTTGGAAAATATTGGAAGCCTAATTATACATTTTATTAGATGGCCCAACTCTTTTTCTTTTAGATGGCTTTAAATCAATTACTTAAAACCTTGCTTTTTGAAAGCTGCATTGAACCTCAAAAGATGATGCATGTCACCTGAAAAGGTTTGAAGGAAACTTTAAGTCAACCTGGGTTCTACAGAGAAAGCATTATGAACATTTCAGGACCAGCTTGGAAACTCATGCTCTAAGTCCATTGATTCAGCATTTTGTCTCACACCAAGGGCAAGGAGGGTTATCGATGAGATAATGAGTGGCTATATTAAGACTCTGACTCACTGCTGTTTGGTGCCCCCATGCAACAAGGCAGCGCTTTTAAGTAGACAGATTATATCGCACGGTCTTTTCTTGTATGGAGAACTATGAATGGATGTTTCATTTAGCAGCATTAGGCAATATTTTCAAAATGCATTGGACTAAATTAAAAGATAAAAGAATAAATGTTTCTGAAATACTATCAGGTTCTCTATTCAATATAATTTTGCCCCCATGAGTGACCACTGTTCAGTGAAACCCTGGTACACTTCACATTTTTATACCTCCAGTTGCAGAAGATGAGAGAATATGAAATATACAAGTACTTTTCTGAAAAGCCGAACCCTAGCAGAACTGAGGGGGTGTTAATCTGTCAGTAAAAGAGTAAATAAAAAAGCAAGACTACTTCCATCCTTCACTAGCAAATATTTACAACATTTAAAGGATTGTCGCTCTCTCAGTCTTGTCTCTCAATTTCTTGCAATTGCTGACTGATTATTTACTAATCAGAAACTAGATATGGCTCTTCTTTAGGAGATGGCCACATGAAATTCTGATTGTTCTGAGCTGTTGGTTCAGTTGTCAAACAGACTTGTCAAATAAGTTGGCCTCTAACCTTAACTTTCAAGGCTGACACACAGCTCGGCACTGTAACACACCTGTGTCTTACATGTTTCCTGCCTTTTCTATTTAAAAAACTGTGTAATATGCATAAAAAGAGACACATGAAATCATGGGTGTCCTTTGTGTGTGGGTGGGGCTGAAGGGGTTCAGAGGCATGATCAAGTCACCCTATACCCCACATACAATTTGGGTATTCAATGTAAAATCTAATTTTTAAAAGTTTCATAAGAGATTAGGACTGAGTTCTAACAACCACAGCTATACACAAACTGAAACATGCACATTTTATAACAGGGATAATTAATCTTCTTTATTCCATGCCTGAGAAACAAAGATTCTTGCTTAAACATTTGAAATGTTATCAGCAGGAGTGCAGGGAATATAAATTCTTCCTTCAAAACCATAGTTACCAAATGATTCACTTAAAATGTCTGTATTTGTGTATTTGACTACACATAGACAATATTTGGAGTTCCTAGACTGTGTACACTCTTCCTGGGGTGGGAGGCATTATATTGGGCACTTATTAATCAAATGGTTTGGAAGTGTCCAGAGGTAGTCACATTCTGGAAACAAGCATCTTTTTTGTCCAGCATTCTTAATGAGGTATTTTCAGTTCTCACCCGATACTCTTGTTAGGCAGTGATTCTAACAGCACCACTTACAGTATCAAAAAATGGTTTGATGGCTTATCTGTACAGTAAATAAAAAGGTGCTGGAGCTGTGTTTTGAGCTTCTGCATTACCTCCCACTGACAATCCTGAAATCTGTCATCATTTGGTTTTCTTTTGCGTCCTTGATTGGAAACTGGCCAAAGGGAGTTCAGGTGTTTTTTTTATTTGTACAGTATTGTATTGGTTATGGAGGAAGGTGGGAGGTGGGAGGTATAGAAATAATAACATCTGTAAACAGCGAGTTCTATCCAATATAGCAAAAGTTTTTAAATAATGACCCAATGAGTCATCCCTGTTTATTCTCCCTTCACTTTGCAACAAAATGCATATTTACAGGAATTACAGTACCAAGCATGACATAATGTCCTTTGCACCACACCTCTTTCAGCTGATGTTAAAGAACAAACATAATGTTAGTTTTTAGACAAAGTTGAAAAGGTCTTACTTTATGATCCCTAATGGATCTAAGCTCTCTTCTACTTCTTCATCGTCATCTGGGGGTTTGCAGAGTTTTGTTGTTTTGTTTTGTCTCAGTCGAGGTATCTCCTCAGCAGGAAGGACCTCTTCCTTAGAAAAGAAATCAAATCCTTCCTCCTCCTCCTCCTGTTCAGGAACATTTTTACTCTTTAAGTCAACAACATCTGTAGTCTTCACTCCTGAAGACAAAACACAGACTAGGATTAGACAGTCCTCTCTAGGAGATGTTGTGAGCACTTTACATTTATTTTTTCAGAGGTAAAAAAATTCCACAAAACCAGAAACAAATTGTAAGACTTCAGAATGGTTAAACAAAAATGGGAATATTGCCCCAAATATGAAATTGCATTCTTTTCTAAGTTACTATTCACCTTTTATATACACAGTTCTGTGAAAAAGTGTTTGCCTCGAGTCTGATTTTCTGAATATTTGCACATTTTTCAGCTGTGAATTGTATCAGATCTTTTTGTGGATTGTAGCAGAACTATATAAGAGGTGAATCTGAGAGAAGAAGTTGACACACAGTTTGGTGTTTCTTTCATTTTTTTGGTGTGCAAGGTAATCAAACATCCAATCTTCAGGTGTGAAAAAGTCATTGTGTTTTATTTCTTTTCTTTTCAGCATGGAATAAACCTATGGAATAAACCTATTACTTGAACATGAGATCAAATTTGCCAAAATGCTTCTGGACGATCCTCAAGAGTTCTGGAACAATGTTCTATGGATAGATGAGTCAAAAATGTAACTTTTGGCCAACATGGACCCTGTTATGTCTGATGCAGGGGGGGAACAAACACTGTATTCCATGGTAAGAAAATCATACCAACGGTCAAGCATGGTGATGGTAATGTCATGGTTTGGGAATGCTTTGCTGACTCAGTCTTGCTGACTTGCCATTAATAAAGGAATCACGAATTCTGCTCTGGATCAGAAAATTCTACAGGAGAATGTCAGGCCAATCCATCTGTGAGCTGAAGCCAAAGTGCTGCTGGGTCATGCAGCAAGACATGATCCAAACAGTGATACAAACAGACAGTGATCCAAAGCGCATAAGCAAGTCGACATCAGAATGGTTGAAGAACATGATATTTAGACTTTAGGAATGGCCTAGCCAAAGTACAGACCTAAATGTTGTGGGAGTGCATGAAACAAGCAGTTCATGCTTGAGAACCCACATATGGCACTGAGTTTAAGGGGTTTTGCATAGAGGAGTGAGCCAAAACTCCTTCACAGGTCTGCAAGATACTAATCAATTACTACATATAATGTCTAGTACCAGTTATTGGAGTTACCTCTTATTAAGTCTAAAAGGATTAGTCAGACTTATTAACATTCATGTGAAAATATGTGATAATGCTGAAAATCACAAGGAGGGCAAATACTTTTTCACAGCACTGTACAGCCATCCATTTTCTGGTTCTTCCAATTCAGGGTTGTGGGGGACCTGAAGCCCCTCCTGACAAGCAACGAGCACATGGCAGGACGTCGGACATTGGAGAGGCCTCGGTGAAAGCACCTCATGCCTGCAAGCTCCTGGGAGACCGTGCGTGACAGCTGGAATATGAAGCTCAGCCTGCTCTTGGGCAATTTGCCTACTGTGCGAGACCCTGAAATGTATTTCTACTTACATCTTTGTATTGACGTGCACCTTTGGCATGCAGGAAGAAATGTTCTAATGCTTCAGTTTATTTTTTCCTTTCTGGGAATGAGTGAGCAGAGCTTCAAATAGTCTGTCAGGGCTACCTGGGTAACATCTGAAATCCTCTTAACTTCAAGAGAACAAATTCACCAAAACTGAAGTACAATGGAAAGGAAAGCCAAGACCCTATCTGCTTATCCAATCTTAGCTATATGAACTGGCTACAAACACATAATTCTCATTATTATAACTGAATGGACAATGACCCCCTTCTCAGTGTTAAGAAATAGGTCTTGTGTGGAGTCTGAACTGATACTCTCCAATGAACGTATAATACAATTTAAAAACAGATTTTTCTACAGAATGTAATATGAAATGTAATCAAATTGCCTTCATGGGAGTATATCACGTTTGTATGCATTTAATGTTGAAGCCACACCCTGCAGTAACTGTATAATTCTTTACTGTAAAGCTTTTTTTTTAGAAATCAAAAATACAGTATTTAATACAAAAAAGGTAAATCTCCATGATGACTGGGAGAGAGTTAAAAATGCCAAAACTAAAGATAACATAAAGCTATCTGTAACCGTTCTGTTCACGAATTCTAATTTCTAAAGTGTATAGACAATTTTTCACTGTTCTGTCACCAGTTCGTTTCTCTAGACAATGATCAAATCGGCTATCTACTTTTTAACTGTTTATCCAACACACAGTGTTGTGGAGGAGCTGGTGCCTATCTTGGCAAGCAACAAGCAAAGCAGGGTGCAACCTGGACAGGAAGGCAGTCTACTGCAGGGCAGACAGACACAAACACACACACTCACACCAGGCACCATTTTGCTAGAAGCCATCTAACCTACTAGTATGTTTTTGGACTGTGGGAGGAAACCGGAGTACCCAGAGAAAACCAAAGGAAACACATAGGGAGAACATACAAACTCCAAGCAGACAATGATAAAATGTACCTAGGAATTCCAATAACTCTGGACAGGTTGCAAGTGTTGTATTCTTAGAGATGAACTTCACCAGTTCATCAAACGTCACTCTTCTCTCCTTGATGTCCATATCACCCACGAACAGAGCCTTCCTGGGCATGGCAGGGAGGGCAATTTTCGGATAATGAGCCACAAGCTTCTGGTAAAACTCATCAATTTCACTGTACTTTTTAGACACCTGTGAGAAAAAAGAATGATGGTACATTTTTGATAACCAAGTAACCAAATATGCACAACTGTGAAATGGAATTAGGCTGCATGAAGAGGTGAACATTCAGGTCTAGCAATCTTTTAGTTTTTGAAATTAATACTTTATACAGTATAACAACTTGGGCAACCCTATCCTTTTGCTTTATAACACACTGTAGATATCCATTATACAGTATATCACACTTAGGTGCATACTGTAGTACAATCATGCATCTATATTTATTATAGGACAATGTAACTGGGTGTTGAAAGCTGCAAGAGCTGTGAAGTGCACTGGGCTTCCAAAGGGCCTGGCCAGTACAGGCCTTAAATGGGTGCTCAGGGTGGGATTTATACTCCAGAGACCGTTGGTTTGAATTGTCATTAGCTGATAGCAGCCTGAGTACTCCTAGGTGCGGTAAGCTGTTAGCCAAGTGCTGCCGGAGTTGCGCAGTCATGAAGCTGGTTGCGTTTTCCACAGATTTCCGTGAGCTGTGAATGTTAAAGGGAGCTGCCAGCTACTCCTTCGCCCCATTCCTTAACTCTGCTGTTGGCATTGCAGGCTCAAGCATGAGCCCAGACACTGTGAAAGACGCGTGTGTCGTCATCAACTCTGTGGTGATGGGGTAAGAGATGCACTGCGGTAGCGAGTCAAGCTAATCCAGAACTCCTAACTAAAACAATACAGTATGTGAAGTGTCTTTCACCATTTACCAAAACATGTGGGAAAAATCTGATTTTTCTAAAGAAAAATGATAGGAAAAAAATTCATTACACTGTGACTTAAGCCTCTAGTTTCAAGAGAATTGCTATAGCAAATAAACATGCAAAGAATTTTCATGTAAGGGCAGGGAGAGTTATATTGTGCTTGTTGCCTTATACAAACCTACTTCATTAAGATCCAATTACTCCAAAGCTTCAAAGGTATTAACAAAATCAACCAAGGAAACAAGTGGACACTAAGTGAAATCTCATTAAAAACTGAGAACAGGAGGTGTTTCTTTACCCACAGAGTCATGGGAGTGTGGAACAAGCTACCCAGCCCTATTGTTGAAGCCAATACTCCGGCTTTGTTCAAGAAATGACTGGATAAGATTCCCAGATCAATTAGCTACTAACTCCCAAATAGATTAAGGTTGGCCAAATAGCTTCCGAACCAATGGTTTGCAACCATTGTTATCATTACACATTAAAAAATGAAATATGTGCATTAATATCTAATTGTTCTCTTGGTTCCAATTTCCATTTGACCAGAGCACGGGCCTTGTTTGGACATTGGTGCTGTATATTTTAGCTAACCACAGTCAACCAAACTGATCCTGTCACCATATATTAATTGAGAAAGCAACAAGAAGCCAGAAATGCACCTGAGGTAATTAGTGCAAAGGATGTGTGTCAGTTATTAATAGATAGATACTGTATTGATCCCGTGAGGGAAATTGCAGAATGTCATGTTCTTCTCTATATCTACTGTATGCAATTCGAATGCAGTCCAAAGACATATGGCTTAATCTCTGTCTAAAAGTCTGAAGGATAAAATTATTGATTTTTTTAGACTTAACAAGCAACACAGCAAATCCGCTATACTGGTCTCAAAATGACATCAGATATACTGAAACAAAAGTAACAAAAACAAAGGCCTACGGTATGTAGTGAAAAGCTTGCCAAAGAGTACTTGGCATCATGGTTAGAAACAAGTAGTATATACAGTTGTTTTTCTTAGTACTTTAAGTAATGTTCCTCCATTTTGCCATTAAGACCTCTGGCTTCTTACAGAAAAGCACCCTGGGCTCTTATAAAATGGAATGGCCACACAAGCACAAGGTTATGTAAACAACTCAATCTCCACTTAAAATTGCTCTCTGGCAACACTGATTTCACTAATAGGGTCATGCCAATAAAGCACCTTGAATTCAAAATTGAAATGAAGTACAGATTAGAAATGTGTAATCAAGGCAATAGTAGTCTTCAATACTTAAATTATACATTTATCAAGGCACCCAAGCTCAGATTTGTTTTGCGACTGTTTGCAGAGTACCAGTGACCTCTTGTGGTGAAAACAAGCAATAGCACAAGAAGGCTTATTTACACAGAACATTTCTTTGCACTAGTTAGTCACATCCTGAAGAAGATCCTCTGGATACTGACTGTTACTTATATGCATTTGATGGGATAATAAAAGTATGATTTGGGAGAAGAGAGTACAGTGTGTGGGTAGATTTATCTTTTTTCATGTTTTCATTATCCCTTTAAGTTGTTAAGACCTTTGGGAAGTGTGTAATTCACATGACATTATTAACACCACAGACAATCTTTAATATATTTGCTTACTTGCATCTACAAAATGCTTGTCTTTCAACAACAACAAAAATAGATGCAACGATCATTACAACATTTGATTGACAGTATATTTCAAAGAGAACTGCTGGACCTCTGGACTTGGATGATTAGCTTAACTGTTAGAGCAGAGGCTCTGTGGATAAGGCTCCGTGTCTGTGGCTGGAAGGTTGCCAGTTCAAATCCTGCGGCTGGCAGAGGACTCCTACTCTGTTGGGCCCCTGAGCAAGGCCCTTAACCCCAGTTGCTCCAGGGGTGCTGCATAAATGGCTGACACTGCGCTCTGACCCCAAGCTTCTCTCCCTGTCTGTGTGTCTCATGGAGAGCAAGTTGGGGCATGCGAAAAGACAAATTCCTAATACAATAAACTATATATGGCTAATAAAGTGATCTTATCTTAGGTAGAGGAATTGATGCCTACATCCTCCAGTACATCCTGGAAACATACTTAAAACTGAAAAGATTTACACTTCTTTAAAAAAAGGGTTGTGGGAGCCTGTAACAAGCCATGCCCAGCAATGACGTGAAAGCAAGTATTCTACTTTCTTTCAAGGACTGCCTGGATAAATGCCTCATATTACCTAGCTACTACTAAAATGGCTACATAAAATCCACCTCTCATTTGTAACCTTTTATACTGTATGTTCCAGGGATCTCTCTTCCTTTCACAGGATACAGCTACATGGATACACAATACATCTCATACAACTTATTTCCACAGGACAGTGAAGTGTGTGGTACAAGTCATTCTTTTTCACTGTTACACGCAACATATGAACACTGTAGAATTTTAAAATATATAAACCAAATGAATTAATAAATTATTTCATTTTCATATACAATCATCTTCCCTTTTCTTTAAAAGCTGTAAAACCAAGTATGTGGCATATGATAGTCTCTCAGAAGAGAAACAGCAAAAAATGTTTGTCTGTTGGACTGTAACCATTCTACACCTGAAGGGAGTTTCAACATTTCAGTGTGTGTTATACAGTACACATTATTACAATACGGTCCAAGTCAGGGTTCCAGCCCTGGTCTGGAAGGAACACTGTCTCTTCTGTTTTTTGCACCAGATAAGTTCTTAATTACAGTCTATTTGATTTCAGTTTTCTTTCTAGGGCATATTTCTAAATTTACCTTTTAGCAGTTAAAAGGTCAAATGGGATTTGAAATTAGTATCAACCCTCTACCAGTTTCCGCGTCTCAAAACTGCCCTCAATCAGGTGTTTCACCTGAAATGTATTTGCAGTTGAGAAGTTCTGATCTAGCAGTTTGTTGACGAAAACTTCCAGTATTTAAGTCATGGAGATTAATGCTTTCAGCCAAACACAAACACTTCATTCATTCATTCAATGTTTTCATTACAGGAAACATTTTGTGGCCGCTACAAAAACAGCATCTAACACACAAGTAAATTTAGGAAAACCAAACACCAGCCACAAACAAACCTTCATTTTCAATTCAGTAAAATATTCAAGCAAGTCAAAGCGAGGCTAAGATGTGACATTTCCAGCACTTAAAAACGTCTTTATTTAAGTAGGGAGCCCATCATTTGAAACACCTAACATAACAGCTTTCAGAGACGCACAGAATGCTAACATCCCTCTTCAAAGGCTTTCATTAGCTAATATTTAACTGCAACGTACCACAAGCTGCACAACATCCTCGGGTTTATGCTTTATTGATTTGAATGCTGCCAGACGAGAGACCACGACAATCTGATACTCCACGTGACCCGTCATCATGGAGCCTCGGATTTCCTGATACACCGGTACACAGAGGTCAATTCCAGTGTCTTCATTTTGGAGTTGCCTAAAAAGAAAAGCGTATAATGTAAACATAACAACAAAGTTGTAAAAAATTAGCAGAGGCCATTCAGCCCATCGAGCTTGTTTGTTAGTAAGTAGTTAATTGATCTCATCCAGTCATGTCTTGGAAAACAAATGGGTATTGTTGCCTAAACACAGTTTTAGGCCACATTCAGAAAGGTTATCTGCACCAAATGATCAGTGTACACCGCAGTCCCAGGGTGTTAAATTTTCGGGTTAAGGGTTCTCAAAATGAGTCCTGGGGCATCAAAATTCTGAACCTGGGTTCCCAAAACGTGTGTTGGGGATTTAAATTGCGGGGTCAGGGGTTCCCAAAACGATTCCTGGGGTGTCAAAATCCTATCCAGGGGTCCCAGACTGCCATCCAGCAGCATACCTCTTCTAGCTGGGCTAGTTATGGGCTTAAGTTGAATTTACCGCTGACTTACAAAGACCCGTTCTGTAAAACCTGCAGGAATTCTCCAGGACGGGAACTGGGAACCCCACAGCAGTGTATACACTCTGTCAAATGTTTTTTTTTTGCTATAATCATTTTCCTTTTCAAGATTTTTTAGATCTTCCCTGTTATACTTCCACATTCAATATTTTTTACCTTTTTTATTTTCCTACTATATTTAGATTTTCCAGTAAGCTCATTATTGGTTGAAGTGTATTAGACTGCAAATGACCCTTGTATTTTTCACATTTATCTGTTTAAGCTAAATGACTTTTGTTTACGCATTTAGCTTTGTTTGGCTGATGATTGTTTTTAAATTTTTGTCCTTTGAATGCAAAATATATGTGTCACTGCATGTGATAAAATCCATAAACTTTACAGTACATATAATACATCATAGTAATTTTCAAACTACAGTATATGAGAGAGGTTGATGTCACACTAAATGGAAAGTGTTCTAAAGAGGGAAAGTTTAATTTCTACCCCTAAATTCTTCCAAACGTTTTTCTGATTCTTATTCTACACTATACTCTACAGCAGTGTTTTTATCCCTGATCTGTTGAGTTTATTAATTCCAATTAATCTCTATTTGATTGCCGAGGTTTCCCCCCCAACCATTAAGAAGCTGGACGGAGTTGGTTAATTAGCATCGTCCCTGAATCAGTTCCTAGTTTCAACCCTACTTTCATTCAGTCATGAGGCACATAAGTAATTGGGAATGTCATATGCAGTGGTAACCCCCCCCCACCACCTCCCACCGCTGGTTCACATCAGTTATTGATCACCTGTTAAGTGCTGCTTAGACAGAAAATGTAGAAACCTCTGGATGGTGCTTTGACTGCTTGGTTTCTTCACAGCAACAATTCTACAGCAGAGGGCTTTTGAAACCAAGTTTAATCAAAAGGTCTAAAGAGGCTGCTAGCTTAACCATTTAACATTTAGAGAATTTCAGAAGTCAAGCAAGAGAGAGATGCATTTTTAAACTACATTAAACTAGAGATGTGTATAAATTTAAGATGTTCTCCACATGTACAGGTAACGTTTAGTGAAACATTGACCTTACACACCTCTACTTACAGTAACTACATTGCAGACCTCGGGTGACTTTTGTAGCTTTCCCTTTGAGAAATAACAAGACAGAACCTGATCTTCAATACAAAATGTATCACAACAAGGCGTGCCTGATAATGATTTAGTACCTACTGGCCAATGGACTATATAGACCAGGGGTCTCAAACTTTCCTGGAGTTTCCGGTGTCTTCTGGCTCTGTTGCAGCAATGTTCTGTTATATAGTGGGTCTAATTATTTAATTAGCCATATTTTAATTTAAATACTTCTAACCAGGGTCCTATGTGATTTCTGGAGAGCTGTACCTTTAATGGTGTAATAAGCTATGAAAGGCCTTAAGAAAAATCAAACATATGCCTTATTCAGAAAATAATTAGGTTAATTGTTTAACTGTCTACTCAGGTGGGAACAAAGAAAACACAATGCACTTCAGGTATTGGGTTTGACACCGGAGGTGCAGATTTATTCAGGATCCTTTTGAGGGTTTCTGACTCAGGGGTGTTCAGACTGTATTTTCACTCCTCAGCTAAGCACAGACACCAAACATCTGAAAAAGGGTAATTTTTTATTTCTACTGTTTCCTGATTGGATATTTGCACTCTTTACTTAAGATCATTCACACCCTTTTCTTGCTGATTTCCAGTTACTCCCATCAGTACACAGAAACCAACTCCCCAACTACAAAAAGGTATGAAGTTCTCATTCACACCTGTAGCCATATCATTACTCTATGCAAATACGTATGTATATTGTTTTTGTTGTTGTTGTTGTTGTTGTTGTTGTTTTTACTGTCCGTCTGTACACCAATAAATTGCCCCCCTGGGCAAATAAAGACTCTCTTACTTCTGAAACAGTTAAGTCACACTGCCTGGAACCAGGGGTACTGAGCCTTGTAGGGTTACTATATGTCAGATTGTTCCCCAACATGTCCACCTTGTAGGTCTTTAAATCTCTGTTTAGGGAGGAATTTTCAAATATCATAAAACGTCATCAATGGAGTCTTCTCTCTCTCTTTTTAAATATGGTGACCCTACAACCTTGGCATCTTGATAGCATTCCAGTACTTAAAAAATTCCATAATAATGACTGAATTTATCCTTAACGGCTTAATTAACCAAATGTGTCAAAAATCATTCTGACCTAAAATTCTAGCAGTAAGCAGGGACGCACACGTACAGTAATACTATTAGACGCAATTTATATTTAATTTGAATGGAAACGAAGCTACTGCACGGTGAAAATCTGGGCCACTTATTAACATTATAATAAATATAATTCTTATTATTTTACTCTGTCGTTTAAAAAATACCGGAAGATTAAATATTCTGAAGATACTTTGCCAGAATACTGCAGTAAAATTTTTCAGCAACTATCGTAAATTGTTTGTAATACCTAATTACAAAAA